CTTATTTGTGAAAAAGAAGGATGGATCCTTTCGGATGTGCATTGACTACCGAGAGCTGAATAAGCTGACCATCAAGAATCGATATCCCTTACCCAGAATCGACGATCTCTTCGACCAACTTCAGGGAGCCAGTTATTTCTCAAAGATCGATCTAAGATCATGGTACCATCAGTTGCGAGTTCACGAGAATGATGTGCCCAAGACAGCATTCCGAACTCGCTATGGACACTACGAGTTTGTAGTAATGCCCTTTGGTCTGACCAACGCACCGGCAGTATTCATGGACCTGATGAATCGGGTGTGCCGCCCTTTCCTGGACAAGTTCGTGATCGTGTTCATCGACGATATACTTGTCTATTCTCGGAGTGAGAACGATCATAAACAGCACTTGAAGCAGGTGCTGGAAACATTAAGAGCAGAGAAGCTATATGCAAAATTTTCAAAGTGTGAGTTCTGGATCAGGAAGGTAAATTTCCTTGGTCACGTGGTTAGCAAGGAAGGTATACACGTGGACCCTTCCAAAATCAAAGCGATAGAAAATTGGTCTGCACCAAAGACACCCACAGAAATCCGGAAATTCTTGGGTCTCGCAGGCTATTATCGCAGGTTTATCCAGAATTTCTCCAGGATCGCTAAGCCTTTAACTACCCTGACACAAAAAGGTGTAACCTTTAGTTGGGGAGTCAAGCAAGACACTGCGTTTCAAACATTGAAGCAGGCCCTATGCAGCGCACCGATCTTGTCTCTGCCCGAAGGGACGAAAGACTTCGTGGTTTATTGCGATGCATCCAATCAGGGCCTAGGCTGTGTGCTCATGCAGCGAGGAAAGGTCATCGCCTATGCCTCGAGGAAGTTAAAAACACACGAAGTCAATTACACAACTCACGATTTAGAGTTGGGAGTAGTGGTCTTTGCGTTAAAGATCTGGAGACATTATCTCTACGGAACCAAGTGCACTATCCTCACCGACCATAAGAGCTTGCAACATATCTTTGATCAGAAGGAGTTAAACATGAGACAACGACGATGGGTAGAACTACTCAGTGACTACGAATGCGAAATTCGTTACCATCCCAGCAAGGCCAATGTGGTAGCAGATGCCCTCAGCCGAAAGGAGTATTCAGGGCGTAAGGTGAAGGCACTAACAATGACCATCTATTCCCATCTGTCCGCACAGATCAGAGAGGCCCAGCTGGAAGCCTTAAAACCTGAGAACATGGCAGATGAAGCCTTGCGGGGAATGAAAAAGAACATAGAGGTCAAGGGAGACGGAGTTTACTATTTCATGGACCGTATCTGGACCCCGAAGTATGGTGGTTACAGAGAAGTTGTCATGAACGAAGCTCACAAAACGAGATACTCCGTTCACCCAGGGTCAGATAAAATGTATCTGGATCTCAAACGACTCTATTGGTGGCCAAACATGAAAGCAGAAATTGCTACTTTCGTGGGCAAGTGTTTGACTTGTGCCAAGGTGAAGGTAGAATATCAAAAACCCTCAGGTTTGCTTCAGCAGCCGGAAATACCTGAGTGGAAATGGGAAATGATCACCATGGATTTTATCACCAAATTACCCAGATCTCCAAGCGGGCACGACGCCATCTGGGTAGTTGTCGATCGGTTGACTAAATCCACCCACTTCCTGCCAATCAAAGAAAACTTCAAGATGGAGAGACTCACGCGGATCTACATTCAAGAGATAGTTCGCCTTCATGGGGTACCTGTATCCATTATCTCCGACTGAAATAGCAGATTTACCTCAAGATTCTGGCAATCACTACAGAAAGCACTTGGAACTAAATTGGATATGAGCACGGCTTATCATCCGCAGACTGATGGACAGAGTGAGAGAACAATTCAGACATTGGAAGATATGTTGAGGGCCTGCGTCATCGACTTCGGCGTGTCATGGGACACTCATCTTCCTTTGGTTGAATTTTCCTACAACAACAGCTACCATTCCAGCATCAAGGTTGCGCCGTTTGAAGCCTTCTATGGCCGCAAATGTAGATCCCCTCTGTGCTGGGCTGAAGTAAGTGACACGCAACTAGTCAAGGGTCAAGTCCCTGACAGCACTCTCACTGGTCCTGAAATTATCCGAGAGACGACTGAAAAGATTGTGCAAATACGAGAACGACTGAAAGCCTCACAAGATAGACAAAAGAGCTACGCCGATAAGAGACGAAAACCCTTGGAATTCCAGGTCGGTGACCGCGTCCTTCTGAAGGTCTCGCCCTGGAAAGGCAGGATACGTTTCGGAAGACGTGGAAAGCTAAACCCAAGGTACGTTGGACCATTCGAGATCCTTGCTAGGATCGGTCCCATAGCATACAAACTCCAGTTACCACGAGAGCTCAGCAACATCCATCCTGTCTTCCACGTGTCGAACCTAAAGAAGTGTCTGTCCAATGAGACACTTGTGATTCTTCTCGACGAGATCAAATTAGACGAGGGTCTACACTTCGTGGAAGAACCTGTCGAAATCATGGATCGGGAAGTCAAACGTACGAAACAGAGTCGCATCCCGATAGTGAAGGTCCGCAGGAATGCCACGCGGGGTCCTGAATTCACTTGGGAGTGCGAGGATTCAATGAAGCAGAAGTGCCCTCACCTCTTTCCAAGTTCATGATTGGTACTATATTCTTGAATTTCGGGACGAAATTCCCTCTAACGGGGGGATGATGTAACAATCCGGAACTTCTATCTTGTACACTTAGTCAATACAATCAATAATCAACTTGTTTTCTTGATTTCTGGTGCTATTAAAGGGTTCAATTAAGTGTTCTAAGCTTAAATTTGACCAAGGTTGAGTTTAGGAATGAGTCAGCACGCCCCATAGTGAGAAAAACGGGCCATACACCCTCTTGGAGGAGCGTACGGCCGTACACATGGGTGTGTGGCCACACACCCACTCCCTAGGCAGCACACTCACTCATGGGTAACACACCCACCCTATATAAAGGGTAGACCCCTTTCCTTTCATTCCTTTAACACCTTGGCAGTACACATCACCTTTCTCTCAAGACTCTTCAACCGCAAACCCTCTCAAGGCCTCAAAAACGTGAGTTCTCCATCACCTAGCTTAACATACATGAAGGACCCATTGATCTAAGCCCTTAATCATCAAAGTTTCATCATGTTCTTCATCATATGAAGGTGTACAGCCGCACACCTTCATAAGGTGGCCGCACACCCTTAAAATACCCTCCAAAGTGAGAGTTTAGCTTCCATAATTGATGTAGACATGCTCCTAGCCTTGTTGCACCTTGGAATGGACAATTTGGGCATCATTTTGAGGGGTGTACGACCGCACACACCTGTGTACAGCCGCACACACCCTTGTGCGGCAGCACACTCCAAGTGTGTGGCAGCACACCCAAGTGTGCGACCACACACTCTTGTGTGCGACCATACACTCATTCTAGGACCATAAACCCACCTCTAGGACCCTTATCTTGCACTACAACTGAATATAGACCTTGAACACTCCGTGGATGTGAGTAAGGACCTTGAGAACACTTCGAAGACACCTCATTTCATGAGTGTATGGCCGCACACCCATTGGGCCGCACACTCATGGCCGCACACACACTCTAGGTGGCCATACACCCCCTACACTCAATCTTACAAGGTCCTATCACTTGGTGCAAATAGTTTCAAGTCCCTAGAGTGGTTTTCCATCACTTATAGTGGTGAAATACCTTCATTTGACTCCTTTATGTGTCATTGCATGTAATTTAGGATCAAATCGTGTTCAACGCTTCACTTGAACATCCAGCGTGTCGTGTTGATCCTTCATTCAAATCACCCGAGGTGAGTTCATACCCCTACATTTTCCGTGTTTTTAATGTTTTCAGGGGGGAATACAAGCCAAACTCAAAGTATTTTATTAAGTTTTAAACTTATTAATGCAGTCCAACGATTTCCACGTTAATAACATATTCGGATATTTTATCTCTTTTTGTAATATGTTGAGCATAAGGGAAACTACTATTTTGGAAATCTAACTTCATAGCTTTCAGAAAGGTTTCTACAAAGCAGTTATATATCAACTCTAATAAACTATAACGGGTATACAGAATTTTCATAAATGAATATATATAAACTATGGCAGATTTAGTTTATGTTATATATTTTCTCAGGAGTATAAAGTACTATTATTCAAGGATAATCATTGTTTTATACTGTTTCTCGCTAGTAAACTAGATTATACAGAATTGTGAGGCTCTACTTCAATACTGTATCCTTAGGTGTATAGTGATAAATCCTTTTTAGTATAACCAGAGTCTCCTGGAGGGAGAGCGTGAGATTTGTGAATAGATCTATTCGGGACTGACAATCTCACACCAGAACTGCTAGCTACAGTTAGGCAGGCATGCCTGTGGTGAACAAATGTCATTTAGCTTAACGCCTGAAGAACGTTATAAAGGTCTCTCGGTCATATCAAGTATGGTTATACGACTCACAAAACAAGTATAAACTATTTTTGGTCTACGGACTCTAATCTTCATCTGTTTTATTTTGAGTAATAAAACTACTTTTATAAATACTAATAGTAATCAGGAATCTCTAGACTGGCATCTCTACCTCTAGTACAGATAACCGTTTTTAGGGAAAATATAGGATTTTCCCAGGATAACACTAGCATTTCTAAAACTGATGGTTTACTTTCTACCGCTATATACTCTTTTAACACTACTTTTCATAAGAAAATATAGGATTTTATTGAGGAACACTTTTCAAAAAGGATTTCTAAGAAACATTTTTCCACAAAAACTAAATTTTTATGAACTCACCAGCTTTATGCTGATATTCTTTCAAAACTGCTTGTATTCTCAGGGAATCAGTAGACAGGTACCTGCTGGATTTTGAGGAGCCGGAGCAATAAGAATTATATTTTTATATGATTACATACTTTTGATGTTCTTAAAACAAGTTTTAAACTGATGTAAACACTTTTTTATATTGTATTCAATGTTTGGTTGTGTTTACTATGCTTGCTATACAATTGTTGTGATACTACGCATGACGTCCTCCACCCCGGAACGTTTTCGCCATTCTGGTTTCGGGGTGTGACAATCATCCACTCCCTCAACATCAGCTTTAATCCCTGCTTCTAGTTGTACCTCATCCACTACATGATTATCAGCTGCAACCACTCCTTCATCATCACCTTCACTCCATTCTTCATCCCCTGCATTAACTCCTCCATCATCAACAAACACCTCAACATCATCTGGATGCCCTTCTTGATCTTGTAATTCCTGTTAAGGCAATATATGACATGTAATTACAATATGGCAAAAATAGAATAAAATTGAATTTAAGTAGAATAAATAGGAGATTAATTACAAGTTCAACAGGTGTCATGTCATCTAATGGCATTGATATCCCTTTACCCCCCTCAATTTCACCAATGTTGTATTCTGACTCTAGTAGCATGGCTACATCTTCTTCATTCAGTTGGATTTTCTCAGGTATAACATCATCTGCATTACCTTCAAGAAACTTAGGTTCCTCCTCTTGAATGTCTCTAAGAATTTCATTTATACCATTCTCAACATCATCAAGAATTTCACTCAGCTTTCGTGACTTAGATTGTCCCTCAACAACTTCATCTATAACTTGACTGACCATACCCTCATCAACCTCTTGTTGTCCATTTTCCTGGTTTTGCTCTTTATCTCCAGCTCTACCTTCACCCCTTCTACTATTTATTTTTCTCCTTTGAGCAATTGGCTGATTTGGCTCATTACTGGTTTTTGTACTCCTCCTTCTAGTCTTTCTCCTAGAACTAGATGCTTGATTGGGATCCACATTTTGATTCATTGGAGTTTCAGTTGTTGCACTTTCATGTTCCTCTTGATTTTTCCTTGGCCTACCAATTTTTTGGGGTGTATGTGGAACTCTTGGCCTAGTTTCACTTGTGCAACTTTGTTTGTTATGTCCAAATTCAGAGCAATTACCACACCTCACAGTTCTGGATACTTTAACTCTTGCAGTAGCAAACTTGGTCTCTTTTTCACTTGAATGCCTTCTCCTTTTGGTGGCAGGTCTTCCTGTCATTCTTCTAGCTATTGGTGGCAAAGGCTTTTGGAAAGGAGTTTGTTCCCATAAATTGCTCCCATTGACAGGAATTATGTTACTTTTGGTAACATTCAATAAACCTGCCTTTTGAGAAGCATTCATTAACATATCCATCAGCTGTCTTATGGATATAGTTAATGGCAACATTTGCATGAACACAAGGGATTCCAGAAAGATCCCAAAGCCCGCATGTGCAAGTCCTGGCCTCCAAGTCTACCTTGAAACTTTCATAATTGAACCTAACTTCAAACATTGAATCTTGGCTATGAATAAACATCCAAAACCAGAAATTGTCACATAAATTTAAAAACATTAACATAAGAGCATTGATTTATAAAATACAAATGCAATTGGGTAAATAATACATACCTCATATACTTCCCAAAAAGGTTCATTTTTTAACACATTTGGGCACACATTGGACTTCCATTTGTTACACTTATTAGTCATGTGAGCAAACCTATCCATTATGTAGATTCTTATCTCCTCAAGCATTGTTACCAAAGGCTTTTTCCTAGCTTCTATTATGATGGAGTTAAAGCATTCTGAGATTCCATTCTCAACTGTTTCACATGCAAACCCTGGAGTAAAGTAAGCTCTGCACCAAGTTCTAGGCTGTTTGGACATCAAATACTCATATGCACCAGAACTAAGCTTCTTTATTTCACCCATATGTTTCTTGAAGTATCCTTCTAAACAACTCTGAAGCCCAAAAAAGTCTTTTGAATTCTAATCCGGTGTAAGCCTTCTTGAAGTTTGCATAAATGTGTCTAGCACATTGTCTGTGCTCCACATGTGGCAAAATGTCTTTCACAGCTTCCAGTAAGCCCTGAAACATATAAGTACATTGAATATTAATACAAAACATTTCGATTATTTAGTATATTAATACAAAACATAGCAACTAAAAGTACCTTATGTTGATCTGATATGATAACCAACCCTCTACTACCATCCAACATTAGATCATCATGTATGAGCTCCGAAACCCAAGTCCAATTAGGTTTATTCTCCACATCTACAACAACCCAAGCTATTGGATAGACTTGGTTGTTGGCATCCCTTCCAATTGATGTCAACAGTTAACCTTTCACCTCACCTTTCAAGAAGCATCCATCTAAACCAATCACTTTTCTACAACCACTTTTCCATCCATTACTTAAAGCCTTAAAACAGATATAAAATCTGTGGAAATAGCTCTTTCCATCAGGGTTGTTGATGACACTAACCTTGCAAGTAGATCCAGGGTTTGATCTTAAAAGCTCATAGGAGTAGTCCCATATTCTTGCATAATGCTCAATTAAGTTTCCTTCAATTAACTCTTTTGCCCATTTTTTTGCCCTCCTACATTGGCCAATAGACACATCACATCTAAATGTCTATTTAATATCACTTATCATCTCCTTAAGCTTAAGCTTTGGCTTGTTTGCAATCTCAATCATGTAATGTCTCCTAATCCATTAAGGAGACACAATTAAACCAAACATGAATGACCTAGAGCATTTGTGGATCCTAGTCATAGTTTTGATTTGTAATGACCTTTCCTTGTACATCCAAGCAGCATGCAATCTGAAAGGGCATTGGTTGTCTTCATTTCTTTTCCCACATTTTGCAACAATTCTAACACTATCACACAAAATATATTTGATACCCATGGGACACAACATAGTTTTCAACACATAATTTAAGTTACTCAGCGGATTCAAATATATCACCAAGTTTTGGTTCCATCTTGTCCCATTTGATGTTGGGATCATGAACCCTATACTTAGGTTGTACTTCTTCCTCGTCATCTTTATCACTTCCTCAGTCATTTTCATGATATACTCATGCTCTCATTTAATCAGACATACTTGCATTATGAAGATTAGCATCATTAAGTAATAAATTCAAGATATTATCCTTACACTTATCTAGTGTGCTCACGAACTCATCCTCTGGTTCATGGTCCATGTAAATACCATGTAGTTCAAAGTCCATCTTGTTCAACCCAACAAAAGGTTCGTTCAAAGCAACAAATGGACCGTTCAATTCTTCCTCTGATGAAGCCATTCTTCACTCCTTCATAAAATCAAGGTTACATAACATGATTTTAACTAAGAGTTCAAAGGAAAAAATGAAATTTTAGTCCAAAACTGTAAATACCTAACCTGTGATGATCGTCTTCTTTACTGGACTTACACTATCAACACTGATTATCGTTTACTTCTTTACTCAAGCTTCTGATAAGAATCAAACCCTAAAAAGCTTTAAAAATGCAGAGAAATATGGGCGACAATGATTATTTTTGTGGAGAAATGGAGAAGACGTACGTTTTGGTGTAAAGGTGATGGATATTTGTGTTCTCGATGTCTAACGGACAAGATAACAGGAGTAAATGAGAGGTGTGTCACCGGATGTTACCGGATGACCTGCTGAATTGCGTTTTTGACAAAAAGAGCCCAAATGTTGGGCATTAACGCACCAAAATTCGTCAAGGGGACTAAACCGAACAAATTTTGAAAACTTAGGGACTTTTATGTCAAAAGCCCCCACTATTTATGTGTTATACAAGAAATAAAAAGGAAGCTATTAAAGTACTCTGCTATGTTACAGCCTGTAATTCTTAAACCACAAAAGGAAAATATTGAGCTGGGATATGAAAAGAAGCCCGATCCCATGATTGGCTCAAACATGACTTTCCTTTCTCACACTTCCATGGTGGGGCTGTGATTGATCAGTTTTCGTGATCTCTTATGTGCTCTGATTCCAAGTGATAATTAAGAAAACCCTCTGGTTTTTAAGAGATCCTTGTTTATTGCTGAATACTTGATTAAAGAAAACATGGCAAAACAGGGGAAGGAAGAAAAAAACGCGAGCTGAGAAATACTTTCTGGAAAAGAAACTTTTACTGCTCAATACTTGATTAAATAAACATAAAACGATACCTTTATTTATACTAAAACAGATGGTATCCTAAACTAACACATATAATGCTTAAAAGGAAAGTTTCCATAAAAATTCCCAAAATGCCCCTGAGGGCTAATTCCTGAATTACGCCAACAATTTCAAGTAAATGAAATATTTTCCTGTTTTGCAGCTTTTTTCTTACATCTTTTGTGAAGAGTTTTGGTAAGTCAATTGAGATTATACCAAAGTTGAAAGAAATGGATGCATTTAACCATTAAGAAGAATTGAACTTTATGAGATTAGTTTTCTCGTACTTCCAAGAACCTGCGTCTTGTGTACTTCTATAAATGATTTTGAGTTTTTATCTGTCATTCAACCAGAAATAAGATTTTTACCTATTTTTCATGTGTGAGAGTCTCGACAAGAGTGCTTCAGTTAGATATATCCAAGAGAAAATCCCAAAATATTTATTAACAAATTTTGTTAGTCTATATTTAAGTGGCACTTAAAAAGCCTAAACATATTCATTTTGTTATTCAGACTAAAAATATATACATAATTTGCTTCCAGAAACTCCATCACACTCTTGGTGTAGAGAATGTCAACATTTTGATGTTCCTTCATTTTTGTAATATATGAAAAACCATCAGGTTTATTAATCTATTAAATCTGCAGTTCTAATCAGAATAATATTCAAATTATACTTCTATATGAAACGCCTATGATTTTCATCAGATATCGTAGCTTTTCCTTTCAGTGAAGTCATCATATTTTTGTTAGTGTTCGTGGGTATTCGTATGTGCTTCATTATATCATATGGAGATCATCATATCTGATGCAGAAGAGGCTGAGGTAAGCAATCCATAATCACAAACCTTCGTTCATTTTGATCATTTAAACTTTACATTTTGTTGACCCTTTATAATAAATGATAAAAAAAGCACAATAGTTTAATAATAATGTTTTCACTATTTCTATGAGGTAAGTATATGTGCTTCCTTTGCATCCTTAGAAGAGTGGACTACAGGACGGACCTACTTGGTGTCCCGAGCAACCCCTCAAATTTTACCGTCAAGTTCAAACCTTAGTCACAAATCCATCACATATCCGTTGGAAATTCGTCACGTATCCATTGGAAATTCATCACAAAATCCTTATAACTGTAAGTTTAATGTAAATATGTTTTTGCAACCCTTTTAGTGAGGGATTTTTGGCAGCCTTTTAGTGACAGATTTGCGAAGGAAACTGCCGTCGAAAGATGAGTTTTTTTAGTAATGCAACACTTAAAAAGATTGTGCAACCCTTGATATTTTTTTACATCCGCCACTAGGAAGAATGTACGACATAATTATTATCTTGAATAATTGGTGTCTATTATATTAATTTGTTCACTATAAACAGTCTTTATTTCTCTTTTTATTCTTTCATAAGGTTGGTTTTAAAATAAATTTACATGAATCATACCACATTTTATCGCATCCTACATTTCACGAGTATTCTGTATGTTATCTTGTTTCACATATTTTTCTGTCATGCATCACCTAACCTAACCATTTCTAATAAAAGCGATTTAAAGGATAACCTTGTTAGAGACCGAGTAATTTTTGTAGCTTAATGGACTTTATGGAGATAACGTTGAATAATCTTGACATGGGTCAGTGGTTAAGTCGGGTTATGGGTATTATCATATTATTCATATCTTGATATAAATATAGATAGATTTGTTAATATCCTTTCTAGATTTGTCTTCTGTAATGGGTTGTCAGCTTTGTATCTTCCCTATATATATTGGGATCATTATTCAATAGTAACACATGAGAGATATACCATTCTTTATGGTATCAGAGGCACAATAACCCTAAAAAATTTTCGAAGCCCATCGCCACCTCTCAGGTCGAAGCTACGGCTTTTGTGTTGTTCTCTGCAAATGCAAAATTGATTTCCACTTATTCTCTCCACCATGTCTTAGAAGAAGGACAATGATGCCAAGGCCACGACATTGCATCCAGTCTGTTATGTTACCAATATTCAGACGAAGATCCGAACCCTTTGATGATACTAAGACCCCGTTTGATAGACATCTTTCCAGGTCATCCTTCTTTCTGGCTGAATCGGCCGGAAAGACCTTTTGATTTGCACAAAAAAGGGTCTTTCCCGGTAAGACATGTCTTTCGCAGAAAGCCCCAAAATCATATCTATATGGTTAAATGGCCCGGAAAGATAATTATGCCCTAAACATCACTTATTTTTTTCTTCTCTTCGTTGCTCTTCATCAGACAACATCATCGCCTCCTTACCAAGCTCCCTACTTCTTTTCTGGCCTACATCCCTCCGTTGGACAGCCACAGCAACCACCAGCTGCACCCCATAGGTTACTATCTTATCTTTTTTTTTCAGATTTATTTCTTTTGATTGGAGTGTACCACATATGAACCTTCATCTATTTCATCTTATCTTCTTTCTTCTGATTTTCGAGCATAGGATTTAGGAGGACTATTTCATATAT